ATATGATTGTTCTCTTATTATTTCACACTCTTTAAACAAAAGTCACAGCTGTGAAAATTGCTGTGAACCTCATGGGCAAGTTAAACAAGTGTGATCAACTGCAGATTTGATATGTAACTCAAAGATCTTGAAAATGGCAGACGAGCCTGTTCTCGGCCTGTCAGTTTGGTTTCATTGTACTGACAACATCAGTGGGCATTACAGACCATGAAGTAGCAAGACCAAAACACATGAGAAGGAAAGTCCTGGGATCCTTTTTCTAGGGATGTAATAAATATGTGCAAATAAAATACCTCAGTGGAAATACAACAAACAACATAGTGTGGAGTTTTTAACATATACAGAAGTAAAACATATGACAACAATATAAAGACCAAGAGGGTAGCAATGAAGACGAAAGTCAATGAACTGCGTATGCCAAAATGGAAAGATAAATTACTGCACAACAACTGAACCAATATTAAGAGCAATTCCCTATCTCTCAACTTTTTGATGTATAAGGGAAAAAAAATCAACTTTATCGCATTTTTGATAGACAAGTTTATTTACAACTGTAAGCATTTCTGATGCAACATCCACAAGCATAGTTAACATGGTAGTAACATCAGTAAAGGATTCCAATGAAAAAGATTATCAATTATCTTCTGGCAATCCAAAAAAGGTCACTTACCCATGCTGGGTGTGGTTCCTCCTTCCAATAAACCTGAACATAATTCAATCCGACCAGCACCTGTGATTAAATAAATAAATGCATTGCTCAGCACAAAAAATAAAAATTTCCACATGTACAATTCACATACCATAAAATGCACCCATTTAAAGTGCATAAATTCAATGGTTTTTAGTGTACTCACAGTGTTCTGCAACCATTTCCATGATCAATTTTAGAGCATTTTCATAAACTCCCCTAAAAAGCCTGGCATCCTTTAGGCAGTCGCTTCCCCCTGTCCACATGTGCCTCAGCCTTAGGCAACCACTGATCTATTTTCTGTCTCCATAAATTTGCCTATTCTGGACATTTCATATAAGAGGAATCATACAATGTATTTTTTCTTATTGTTTTTGTCCCACTTAGAATAATCTTTCAAGATTCATCTATGATGGAGCATGTATTAGTACTTCATTGTTTTTTATTGACAAATTAAGAATGGTGTTTACATATTCAAAGGATTATTTAAGAAAACAAAGAAGATGCAACAAAGACCAAATGTGGCCAGGAAAGCTGAAAATATAGTCTATTATATTACTCTTTACAAAAAAGTTTGCACACCCCCACAATGGATGGAAGATTGGCCGGCCATGTACTAAAAATGGGTGAAAATAAGTTATGGGGGCATGGGAATTCATTATACTATTCTATTTTTGTATATGTTTGAACTTTTCCATAATAAAAAGTTAAAAATTTTTTCTGATCCTGAGATGATGGAAATTTCTATGGTTCCTATTAAAGTAGGTTCACAGTGCAAAAGTAACCTTGATGTAAAAATAATGTTAAAAAAAAGATAAAAGTCCTAATAATAAAAATCTCTAAAATCGTCTTTAAATCAGTGGTTTGAAAGACATTAAATTTTTGTGAAGTTCAATAAAAAAAAAATGAGGTTGGTAAGCACTATTGTGGATTCTGACTCAAAATGTCACCTACTAGGGGGGTAAGACTAGAAGACCATAATTTTCAAGTAGGTTTTCTAGTTGGTTGTTTTCAAAAGGACTACTAGGATCCTTCCAAATCACAAAGGCTTGCAAGATCAGTCCACAGATTCATTTTCAGACTCTTAAAAGAACTATAAACTGTCATTCATTCTCTAGTTTTTCTTACCTCCTCTTTCTGCATTTATAGCTGACTCTACTGAATCAACACACACCTCCATGAGAAATCCATTTGCTGTTCCTAAAACACATGAAAAACAATGCAATACCATGATGGGACTATTCATCCAGGCCAATCTATCACTAACATTTTATATTTTGCTGCCAAAATCCAAATGTCCATCAATAGGAAAGTAGATAAGTGCACCAGGGCCCATGAAAGCAATAAAATACCACATTAATTATAAAATTGATGTCTCTGGACTATGAAGAACATGGACATATGTATAAGAAATGAGACTGAGAAAAATAGACACTGAATGCCAAATTAATCTTCCTAAAACATCATCACATTCTAGGTCAAGATTCTTTCAATGCTTCTCAATGAATGCCTGCAGACATTTAAATTTCTTTACAACGAAAATATGTTTAAGAGCTGGGATGGACTTCACAAGTCCTGGCCTTCAACCACATATTTGTTTGATTCTAGACAAATTACTCAGCCTAAATGCCTATAAAACAGCATGCGTTTTAGTACCTACCTCAGAGTAATGAGGATAGAAATAATTCTTGTAAAGTAGATACTACCAACTAAATGTGTAAAAAGTATTAGTTTCATTAACTACACAGTACTTTCTCTGTATGCCTCCATTTCTTTCTAATCCCCATCCCTGTTTTTGCTGATGCCATCTCCTTAATCCACAAAATCCTTCCAGCTCCATCTTTGACTGCTAAACTCTTCCAAGATTCATGTCAAATCATATAGTCTTTCCAAGATACTTCCTCTCTCAAAATAGGAAATTGTATCCCCCTTTTTTGAACTCATGTAACTCCATATAAATTACATGTTCTTCTTTCAAACATTAATTGTATCTATTCAAAATACTAATTATTTTCTAGCTATTATTATTTCTGCAGATCACTCTTACTTGATTTCAAGTTCTCAAGTAAGGTCTTTATGTGAGAAATCTTCATCACTCACAACAAAGCACTGTGTCTACTACGGTACACAACAGTCAGGCAAAGATTTATTAAAGACTGAATAATTACAGTCATAAAAAATCACATATTTACACTAAAAAATATGTTGAGAACAGAGTTTTGAGGGTTTTTTTCTGTAAGCTTAGCATATATTTTAAAAATTAAGATTTTTAAGCCCTGGTTTGCGTGGCTCACTGCATTGAACACTGGACTGTGAATGAAAGGTCCCCCGGTTTGATTTCCAGTCAGGGCACATGCCTGAGTTGTGGGCCCGACCCCAGGTTGGGGGCATGTGAGAGGCAACCAACTGATGTTTCTCTCCCTCTCTTTTCCTCTCCCTTCTCCACTTTCTAAAAATAAATAAAAATCTTTTTAAAAAAGATTTTTGAATGCATACTTAGGGTAATAATACCCAAAAGAATGGTTACCATATACTGATAATGATTTACAACTAGGTGCTGGGATTTGGAATGCCTTTATTCTCTTTTTTACTTTCCTATATTGCTTGATTTTTTTTCTACCCAACATATTGCTTTCATTTTTTAAAGTGCAACTTTTAATTTGAAAAACAAAAATCTATCATCTGCTAATATCAAGTTTTGACTGCCTCATTTATTAAAAAGAAGGCTATCAGTCTCAAACTGTGAAAGAGTTAAGTCCATCCTATGTTCTTAACCAACAATGCTGCATTAATTCCATGAGTTTTCTGATGGCCACCCTCACCAGCTGTCAGGTCAATATAAATGGACAATGCTGCAGGGGTACCACTTGCCTCTCATGCAAGAAAGAGCCTTAGCTAGCAGAGAGCAGGAATGCACACAAATGACTGAGAGAGAAGGCAGAGTAGGGCAATTGTCCTAAGAAACAAAGTTCTTTGTAGGGATCAAAGACAAAGATACTTCTTTGGAGCAGCAGTTCTCAAAGTGTGGTAGGTCAGTTAGTTAGCTGTGAGGACCTTAGTTATAGTTATCTTAGGATCTTCTAAGACCCTTTCAAAGTCTGTGCAGTGAAAATTTTCATAACAACATTAAACCTTTATTTGCTTTTTCACTGTTACTATTTCATAAGTGGAGTTCTGGGGAGGCTACCTGGCATGTCAGATTAAATGCAGAAGCAGGTATAAGAAAACAGGTATGAGAATCCCATTAAGCCAGCTGGTAAAGAGAACTACAAAAATACCAAACATTTGCACTATATTATTTTGTTTAGGAAAAGTTATTTTTCATTAAAAATGTTGTTTGCATTTACATGTAAGGCGTTTATTATAGTCATTTTCCCGTTAATAAACATTTAAAAAATTTGTTTTAATTTCGAATACAGTTAATATCAATAGATTTAACCGACATAAATAAAAAGTCTTTGAGGATCTCAATTTTTAGGAGGGTAAAGCGCTCCTCAGATCAAAAAGTTTGAGGACCATTGGTTTGGAGGAAGCAAGAGTTCACGGAGGAGGGTTCTGCCAAATCCCTAGCACCTGCCACGCTATCCTACCCTGTGCGAAAGGAAGAACCGGGGTCTTGTGGCAGCCCCAAGCTCTGCCGCTTCGTAGCTGTGTGGCTTTGGGAACAATCCCGCCTCCACTGTTGCAGTTACAAGTTATGGAGCGGTCACCACAGGTTAGGCACTGTGCTCGGCACTCGACATTTAACTATCACAGCGATGCCGTGAAGAAAGGACAGGGCTCCCCTGCGGCGACGGGAAACGTGAGGCTGACAGAAGTTAACCAACTTGAACGCGGTTGCACGGCGATACACGGTGGCGCCGGGATTCAAACCCACACATCTGGCTCCAGAGCAGGGCCACCCGTGCTACATGCCCCTTCTCAGGCCACCCGTTTCTACGCGTTTAAAGCCGGAATGACAGACCGTGTCGAGCTAAAGGCTCCGAGGGAAATCGCGCTTAATCCACTGGTCAAAGTCCCCGCCCGCCCGCTCCTGGGAGGGAGGTGGGCTGAGCGTCCCCTCCCCGCCCCCTTCCGCACCGGCCTTCGCGGACGGTATCCGCGCCAGTTTCCGCTCCGAGAAGGACCCCTGCCTCTTCATCCTCCACGCGCTCCTCCCTCGCGCGTCTTCGGTTTCCACTCAGAGTTCGGGTCCTGGTGCGCGCGACCAAAGCTCGTTCTCACCACTGCGCGCGCCCCTGCGCTCCTCTGATGCGCACGCCCCAGCAGCCCACGCGAAAACCGAGTCGCCAGCGCAGGCGCAGTCAGGGCTCACCCCGGCAGTCTGAGAAGGAGCGGCTTGCTCTGTGACTCGGAAGTGCTTCTTTCGGTAGCAAAGAAAGGAGAGTACAGAGATTGCTGGGGTTTTGAGGCGGCGGCCGCTCACTGTCCTCAGCATGCAGCGATTACTCTTTCCGCCCTTGAAGGCCTTGATGGAGAGCCCATGCCTCCGACTCCTGGTTCCAAGGGCGGCGCCTAGAACGCAGGTAGCGCACCGCAGCGGACTCTTGAGTCGCGGAAGCGGGCGTGGGGGGAAAGGGCCTGGAGAAAGATAATAGATGACCCACATCACGTTTCCTTAACTCCATAAGAGTTCAAAATGCATTTCCTGGTTTCCAGAGCCCCTGACTTCTGAACTGGACCTACCAGTTACTAGCTGTGTGGTATTAGCCAAATTAGCTAACCTTTCTGTGCATCAGTTTCCCCACAAAAATGGGGGATAACAGCAATACCTAGTTCATGAGATTGCTGAAAGGATTAAATGTAATTTGCAGCAAGCACTTAGCACAAAGTGCTAAATTTTACCCAAGTATGTATTTTTTGCCAGAAGTCCCCAGGTAGTCAGGTTAGGGATTATAACCCCCTTCTACGAAGAAGGAAATTGAGGCTTAATTTATGTTGTCTCAAGTTACTTAATTAGAAGCAGGAAACCAAAACGGGTTTTCTGATTCTCAGGGACAGAGTCAGAAAAGGGTGTATATCCACTCAAGTAATAATGAAATCAATGGTTATTATGTGTTAGGAACTGGAGAGTGAAAGGTAAACACCAAAGGCTACTTGCCCTGGAGGAAGCCACAGTTTATTTACTTAAATATTTATTAAATCTTCATTAAGGTCTTGTTACGCAGGGGAACTGTGCTTGAAACGAAGGAAACAGGAAGGAAAGAGCCAGGCTGACCAGGGACCGTTGTCCCACAGCACGTAGTTCAGTGGGAAATAGAGAGGAAACTTGCAGTATGTTAAGGATTGATAGTGGAGGTAAAGTGTACTGAAAGTGACCTGTTGCAGTCCTAGAATAATCTGGGTACACTTCCGCGAGGAGGTGACATCTAAGCTGAGGTCTGCAAGTAGGTACTACAGGCATACCTTGAAGATACTGTAGGTTGGGTTCCAGACCACTGCAATAAAGCAAATATCACAATAAAGTGAGTTGTGTGAATTAAGTGTACAATAGCATTATGTCTAAAAAAACTGTACGTCCCTTAAGAATACTTTATTGCTAAAAAAAAAGGTGATCATCATCTGAGCTTTCAGTGAGTCATGATCTTTTTTGCTGATGGAGAGTCTTGCCTTGATATTTATTGATGTCTGCTGACTGATCGTGGTGGTGGTTAGAAGGCTGGGGTGGCTATAGCAATTCCTTAACACATTGCGTATCACATAGAAATCTCTTAAGACATACGCCAGGGTCGAATGACCAAAATACAATGTAACTGCAATGCTTTATGGGTTCGTGCAATTACATAGTTTTTCGTAGATTGACCTGCACGGTTTCCACCAATGAGATCGCTTCATTCGATGTGGACAAGACAGTGTGTTGACATCTAAAGTCCATAACAGATGGTTCATGAAAAACAAGAAAACTCGTGAACGTTACGAAATGTGTTAAAATAAGATAATGATGAAGTTTACTACATTGATTGACTGCCTTTCAGGAGAATAATTACTCTGTAGCATGCTGTTTGATAGCATTTTGCCCACCCTGGAACTTCTTTCAAAATTGGAGTCAATCCACTAAAACCCTGCCACTGCTTTACCAGCTAAGTTTACATAATATTCTAAATCCTTTGTTACAATCTTCAAAGCATCTTCAGCACTAGCTTCCATCTCAAGAAACCACTTTCTTTACTCATCCATAAGAAGCAGTTCCTCATCTGTTAAAGTTTTATCAAGAGATTACAGCAGCTTAGCCGTATCTGCAGGCTCCAGGTGCTACCATATCTGTAGTTATTTCACTAAAGGCTTGAGTCCCTCAATGTCATTCATGAGGGTTGGAGTCAACTTCTTCCAAATTCCTGTTAATGTTGATGTCTTCAACTCTTGCCATTAATCAGGAATGTTAATGTCATCTAGAAAGGTGAATCCTTTCCAGGAGGTTTTCTGTGTCCTTGATGCAAGGTTGCCACAAACCTTTGATTTAAAAAAAAAAAAAACAAAACCACCACAATGTCAGCAAAGCACAGTAATTGAAGCACAATAAAATGGGCTTGCGTATTTTCCATCAGAGGACAGGTAGTGTCCCAACCAGAGGGAAATCTTGGTTAAAGACCCACAGAAAAAAGAAAGTAGCCCACGTATAGGTGTAGAGTTAGGTCTGAGGATGTATGCAGAGACCAGAAGATTCTTCTTGTGTGGGGATGAATTGGAATGAGGCGAAGACTAGAGTCAGGAAAACTGGTTGGAAGGTAGATGCAGTAATCCAGTGAAAAGATGATTTACCAGGGCAGTAGCAATGGAAATGTTGCCATAAGGGTGCTCAAACTCCAGAGGGAGTGAGTGTGAGTAGCAGTGGAGTGATGTCTTTCCCTCTTTCTTTAGTTGTAATTTATCTGTCTTGATCCTTAGTGTGGTTGCACCTGTGGGATCAGGCACCCCTTGAGGCCAGGGCAGTGCAGCACCATCTCTGAAGTAGCTTTACAGTCTGGAAGGGGTACAGTGTCCCTTCCCTCAAAGGCTGCTGAGCGGGTGGTGGGCCGATGGCTCCTGGTCTGCAGTGGAACAGTGGCTGGAGCAGTTATTCTTGGTGGAGTAACTAGGTGAGTAATTTGCTCATAGTGTGTCAGCTGTTTGGGACATCAGTAGAGGCACAGGATGACCAAGGGGGGAAGGGACCCTAGGGATCATGTAGTCTGGCTCCCTCATTTTACAAATGCAGAAACTGAGGCCTAAAGAGGAAATGTGTCTGATGGCTTGCCTGACCTAGAACAGTTTAGGGTTTTTTTAGTAGGAGGCCTTTACGAGGACTGGTTTCGATTTTAACTATTAGCTTACATTGTGTATATTTCCCCCTAAAATCAGAGTTCAAATTTGTCTCAAAATTTTTGTAGTTAGTTTGAATTAAACCCAAATAAGTTCCATATATCAGTTAGTTCATATGCCTCTTAAGTCTCTTGAAACCTCCACCCACCCCCATATTTGAAGTTTTTCTTTTTTTTTATTGAAGAAACCCAAATCATTTGTCCTGTAGAGTTTCCCAGTCTGGATTTTCCTGATTGCATACTGTGGTGGTGTTCAGCAAGTGTCATTGTCTCCTGTATTTCCTGTAAACTGGTTATTGCTTGATCAGATTCTGGTTGGGGCATGGGGCAAAATATACATAGCTGACTATAACATTTATAAGTATCTGATGAACATTAGAGATGTCAACCACCATTTGTGATCATTGCCTAGATTCATTATTCCATTAGAGTTGCAAATTTGTAATATTCTTTTAGCTAAAGAGAAACTTTTCCTCATCAACAGTTGGGTTATCCTAAGGTATAGTGTATACAGGAAAGGCAGGATAAATACTTGATTCCTTCCCTTTATTTACCAATTTTCATAATGATAAATTGGTTCCCAAGCATCCTCCAAAGGTAACCAATAAAGTGAGGTTTTAGGTATCATTATGAGCTCATAGGTTTAAACATATTTGGTATGTTTCAATTCATTACAGTGACGATGTTTTGCTCAAGTTGTCCCATATTTAGTCAGTGAAAACCTTCTCAAATTGGCTCCAGGGTTGTTTTTGACAGGACCTTGGTAACCTTTGATTCCTTGCTTTCTGGATGATAAGGTGCTTCAGGCTCTTCTCATACATTTCCTGCCTCAAGCGTAAAATCAGCCTTTTACGTTAGGAATCCTAACTCATTTTGGTAAAAAATACTTTTAGTTTGAATAAAGTATGTTTTCTCAAATTCCACAATCCCTGTGCCCTTATTTCAAAATACACTGTATGTGTTACATAGGCTGTTACGGGAAACTGACAAATTTAAGTTTTACTGTCTTTAAATTCACTCAAGAACCTAAAATGTTTTATACCTATATCAAATATCTTTTCCTTGTGTAAATATTTATGCATTTAGGGCAAATGTCTTTGGTCTAAGGGTTGATTTTTGCTGTTTCTGTCAAAATTCTAAGCAGTAAGAGAAGAGGAAGGTGTCAGAGAGGAAACGGTGAAACGGTGTGTTTACCTTTAGAGAGGTGATGTTTAGATCGACTTGTTGCTGTAAACCACTTATGAGTAATCTAGCGTTGTATGCACACATATACATACTCACTCAAATTTCTTTCCTAAGGTTGACAGAGTCTGGCCTCTCAATGGTAGATTGGCATTTAATAAAGGAGATGAAGCCACCAACAAGCCAAGAGGAATGGGAAGCAGAATTCCAAAAATACCAGCAATTTCCAGAATTTAAAATGTAAGTATTAGAGAAAATCAGGTAAACATCCCACAAGAGCCACTCAGTCTTTTGCTTATTTAAACATGTAGAATGATTAGATTCCATCATTTCTTGATATTTGACTCAGTTATGTTCATTGAGCTGCCTACTCTAAACCTCCAATCCAAAGTGATCCTAAGGTCACTCATGAGGAGCGGGGCAGACCTATCAAACTTAAAGGCTGAAAGGGTTCCTGCATTCCACTGAGAAGTAAAAATTGGATGGGTATTTCCTCTTTCTTATTTTTTGACTACCTTTTCATCCAGCTTGAATCATGATATGACATTGGCAGAATTCAAGTTCATCTGGTACATGGAGTACTCACACCGAATGTGGGGTCGCCTTGTAGGCCTCGCGTACATCCTGCCTGCTGCCTACTTTTGGAGAAAGGGCTGGCTCAGCCGCAGCATGAAAGGACGTGTTCTTGCCCTCTGTGGGTTAGTGTGCTTCCAGGTGAGCTTTACTCAAGTATGGGAAACCAGAGGTGCTCCCAAGAGTTTCCTAGTTGGCATTGATGTTAAGGAACTAATTTTATAAAGGATTAGGTGAGAGTATGGATTTTAGTGTCACATGCCTGGCTTCATGGCCGAGCTCTGCCACTTAGTAGGGCAAGTTCTAACCTAAGCAGGCTCTGCTTTCCTTACCTGTAAACAGGGATAATAATAGTGCTTACTGTTTAGCTTGCATGAATATTAAATGAGATCACGCATATAAAGTACTTAGGTTAGTGCCTGGAATCAGTAAGCACTCAGTAAATATATTTTTGCGTCACGAGAATTAGAGGTTTTTCCCCACCATGGCCCTCCTCCCGGGTTCTCATCTTGGGTTTTCTAACTTGATTGCTCTGTGTGGAACTGGGATCCCTATGGTAAAATGGCTACAGAAGCAAATAGGAAAATTCCTAAAGAGAGAAACAGGTTGTGGGATGAAGGATCTTAAAATATAGATGGAGCTGAGAGATATTCAAGTACTGTATAAATGGTGGTTCAAATCACATAAGTTGAACTCCTCTTAAGGAAGAGAGCATTCAAAGACTCTCACACTTAAGGGGTTAGGTGAGGCTAAGAGCCAAGAAAAGAAATATTAGAGAAGACACATGAGTATTTGGGTCAAAGTGTACAGGCCCTAAGGGAGAGAATCAGAGCATCAATCAAATAGCAAAATTTGATGAGGAAGTAAATTGGGCAATTTAACTTAGAAGTGGGGAGAGTGTGAACCAAATGGAGTTAAGTTGGGAGATGGAAGAGATGTAATAGAGGCAGTAGAAACAGACAATAAAGAATTAGACATTAATAAAAGTCTAACAGAAAAGGCCAGGGGCGGGTTGTAAAAGTGAAAGTTTGTTTTAGAATGAGAAAAATAAACCCACTGAAGACAGTCAGGGAGGCAGAAAATTAAAGATGGCAGGTGGGTTATAGAAGGAAGAAAACAGGGGCTAGTAGTTCGCACTGTATATTGTGATCTTCTTCCAATGTCCTATGCAGATGAAATCAAGATAATTAGAACATCCAGGCCAGTCATGAAGAGGGGCAGAATGCCCAAAAATGTTGCCTGAGGACCATGTATTTAGAAGAAGTGGGGCCCTGGCCAGGTAGCTCAGTTGGTTGGAGAGTCGTCCCCACACCAAGGTTACGGGGTCAGTCCTCAGGCAGGGCCCGAACAAAAAGCAACCAATGAATGCATAAATAAGTAGAATAACAAATCGATCTCTCTCTCACCCCCCTTCCCCTGCTCCCACTTCCACTTTCCTCTCTTTCTCCAAAATCAATCAATAAATTTCAAAAGAAATTTTGAAGCCCTGGCCAGTGTGGCTCAGTTGGTTGGAGCATCGTCCCATGCCCAAAAGGTTGTGGGTTTGATTCCCGGTCAGGGCATATACCTAGGTTGCAGGTTTGATCTGGGAGGCAACTAATCCATGCTCCTCTCTCACATCAGTGTTTTCCTCTCTCACTTCCTCTCTCTCAGCAAGCAATGAATAAAATGTCCTCAGGTGAGGATGTCCAAAAAGAGGAGGAGGTGGGGAAAATCCCACCTTTTGACGGGAACCTATTGGTTTGGCAGGGTGGGGGATGAAATGGCCATATCTTATCTGATATGATTGGAACTGACAATTGTTTGAGTTACTTGAAAAAGCAGGTAAAAGCAGGGAATCATAGAATAATAATACATACCTTAAACTTTTAAATGTACTTTTATTATATTTTTTAAAATGAAGAGCCAAGGCCTGTTCTTTAGTCCTCTGATTGTAGTTCAACTTCAGATCTCTTGCACCCCCATAAACCATCATTTTGTTTCATTTTCCTTAAAGAAGAGAGAGAACTTAGATACTTGTAATCTGACTGCAGAGCCTTACGGATTTTAATGACTTTCCCCCATAAAACTTAGTATTTTCTATTTCTATCTAACTTGACAGTAGTTGTTTTTAAGCTTTCTCAAGCTTTCCAAAACATTCAGTCTGGTTTTTATAGAAACAGCTCTCTTTTTTCTTATTTCACTGGTTTATGTAATATTAAATCATATCAGGGATATGTAAGGTTTTGTCCACAAATAAGCTTTTGTATACTTTCCTGTATTTGACTTATACTTCAGTAAAATGTTAATCTAATCAGTGGTTAAATATTTATGGCGCTGTATGTGGAAGTGTGGCTACATCATGATTCCTGGGATACTGAGGGCATACGAGGGGTACGGAAAGGAGGGGTCAGGTAGAGAGTAATTCTGATAATTGATAACTCACTTTCTCAGAGAGTGAAGTTCAGTAGACAGTTCCAACCTTGTTTTATTTGCCTCTTTTCTTTTTGGTTCTAGGGTCTTTTGGGATGGTATATGGTGAAAAGTGGATTAGAAGAAAAACCAGATTCTCATGACATCCCTCGGGTCAGTCAGTACCGCCTCGCTGCCCACCTTGGATCAGCCCTTGTTCTTTATTGCGCCAGCTTGTGGACCTCGCTCTCGCTGCTGCTTCCTCAGCACAAGGTAGCAGTCAGTCTGTATTGTTATCGCATCTGAACAGAGCTGACAGGGCTGGAGAAACAGTAATTCTGGTTCTAATAGGAGGTTACGTCATAATGTACATATTCCCTTAGTGACATCTGCCAATTTGCCAGAAACTAGATATAACCAAAGTTTAGAGAAACGTTGAACTTTGGGACTGCAGAGTAAAATGTGCAGTTATTCTTTTGAGCTGGAACGACTCATTCAAAGGAGAAACAGTTTAGGAGCCAAAGATTTTGTCAGCATTGCTTGTTGGGAAGGTGAAAACATGAATTTTAGAAAAAGCGGGAAGGAGTACCAACAACAACAGATATCCCAACCACTCTACTCCTGACTCCCAGAGGGAGGGTAGATGGCGAGGTGAGGAAGGCCAGAACGAGAGCCACCTCTGGCCTCGTGGTGCACAAGAGCCATGTCGGGTTTTTCCTTCTTTAGGTGGGAACCTACCACTCATCAAGTCAAACAAAACAGTAAACCTCAGTGATCTTGCTTGAGAATATTTTCTCAGTAGGCTGATAAAAGTTTTTTCTAGGTTTTTTTTTTTTAATGAATAATATTTTAGACATTGAAGTCATGGTAGACCTAAATAACCTGTTCATGGAGTAGTGTTTGAGATGATAATAGGACTTTTAAATAGAATCATCCAATAGGTACTTGGAATCAGTGGCCTGGATCCCAGTAAGGACAGGAGATGATGACTTGGCAGTCACCCCACAGGGAAGCCAGATGGAGTTGAAACATCGGTGTAGTAGACAATTTGACAGCTGAATAATTCTGTTTTCCTGACCTTCAAAGCCAAAATTCTAAAATGAATTGCCTATATTATAGATGTTCCTCCTGACAACTCTTTCTTCTTTTCCAGTTGTCACCTGACTTCCCCACCCACCCCTGTACATACACACACACATCCCCCCTCTCTATTGAAATGGTACTCTTAAAGGTTACCAGTGTTTTTTAAATTATCAATTAATTGTTTTTCTTTTTAAAATTTATTTATATTCTACTAACTACAGAAAAGATTTGAGAAGATAGTCAAACATCAAACATATAGTTGGACTATGCTGTCCAGCACAGTAGCTAACTAGCTATGTGTGGCTGTTTAAATTTTAATTAATTAATATTAAATAAAATTAACTAAAATACTTGTTATTTACTTCAAGTTTAAATAAAATTAATGTTTTATTTAAATTTTAAGTTGCTCTAGCCTTGCTTTAAGTCTTCATTGTCCACATATTGAGCAGCACAGAAAGTTCTATTTGACAGCACTGACATAGTGTGCCACAAAATCTTAGTAATGGTACGTAATTCTTCACATACTAGATTGTAAAGCATTTTTGTATCATTACGGTTATGTTTATAAAGTTCATAATAAATATTTGTTGATTCACTGATTAACATCAGAAGTTGTCTATAGTAAAAATAAAAACAAATTTTGACTTTACCAAAAACACTAAATGCAAGAATCTCTACTGTAGGTATTTTATGCAGTTCTGATTCTGACTATTTGTTAAGCACTAAATATCACACGCAAGATGAAAATCCAGTCCTGTGTCTTAGGCCACACCATTTCAACCCTGACGAAGCATTTTTTCCCCCTGAACCCTGCAGATCATTCAGTTATTAAATAGATATGTATTGAGTACCTATATGCCAAGCCCTGGGCCAGTATGTCTGCAAGACACATGGCAGTTCCTGCCTTCACAAGACTTAAAGGATAAAAACAAAAAAACAAACAAACAAAAAAAAAAACCTTACAGGATAGCAGAGGAGAGAGATAGTAAATGTATAAATTTAATAAAATACAATGCATTCATCAGAACAGAATATCGCTGAGAGTAGCTACCCTAGTTTTGGGGTCAGACAAGATCTGATCTCAAATTGTGTGTTGGTTTATTTAGCCTTGGAGATCTTGCTGCCTCTTGCAGTTGCTGAAGTACAGTTGACCTGAGTAATTTTCTTATTTAGTTGCCTGAAACCCGTCAACTCCTGTGGTTGAGACGATTTGCTCATGGAACAACAGGCCTCGTGTTCCTTACAGCTCTCTCAGGTAGGACTCTTCCAGATGGCCTATTTTTATTTCATTCTCAGGTAGTATCTCTTGCCTAATGCATTTCCCTTTCTTGTACCTTCTTATTTCCTTTTCACACCTGCCTTTCTCATACCCATTATCTTTACCGTTCCTTCCTCCCTTCTAAAAATCCTGCTTTCCAGTCAGTTGAACAAAAATACCGAGCATCTGCCTGGATCCGTATTGTCTAGGCTCAAATCTTGGCTTTACCACCTTTGAACTCTGACCTTGGACAAACTATGGAACCTCTTTGGGCCTCAGTGACCTATTCTATAAAATGGGGATGATGATAATAGTCTGAGTAGAATATGTGAAGTGCTTACAATAAATAGTACCTGGCATGTAGCAAAAGCTATATAAGTGTTAGCTGTTATTATTATGTAAACATTAGTGTTATTATTACATGTATCAAGATGGGTCAGTCAGAAGGCCTTCCCTCGAAAATGGTCCAAGGTAGGAAGTTCATTGAGACCAAGAGACCAACACAGATCTTTCTCATTCTTTAAATCATACCTCTACCTCTCTTATTCTAGAACTGTGCTATCCAATACAATAATCACTGGTCTCATGTAATTATTTAAAATTAAATAAAATTTAAAATTTAGTTCCTCAGTCACACTAGCCACAATTAAAGGGCTCCATAGCCATATGTGGCTATCAGCTATTGTATTGGACGGCAGATACAGAACATTTTCACCATCCCAGAAAGTCCTCTTGAACAGAACTGCTTTAATTACCATACTTTGCTGTGTATAATGTGCACTTTTTGCCCAAATTTTTGAGGGAAAAATAAAGATACACATTATACATGGGTAGTACTAATTCCGTATCTATGTGTTTTTAATTCTTACGCTTATGCATTTTTTAATTCTTTTACTTATGCTTATGCATTAAAAGTGTAATTCTAGGAAGGAATAATGATATCCATATGCAAAATAACACCCTGGAATATGATAGCCAATTGTTTCTAAGTATAAATAAATAAATAATTGAATTTAAAAATTAAAAGTTTTTTTTTTTTAAAGCTTGGGCCAAAAATATGGGTGCGCATTATACATGGCCAAATATGGTATTTATTTGATCAGTTACCTCTCATTACCAACCTGGGACCAAACGTGCAACCCAAGCGGGTGACCTGACCGGGAATCGAATCAGTGACCTTTCACTTTGCAGGATGATGCCCAACAAATACCAGTTGGGGCTGAACAGCACTGCTTTAAAATAAAACCATCAGCCCTGGCTGGTGTGGCTCAGTTGGTTGGGCATTATACCACAAACTGAAAGGTTGCATGTTCAATTCCCAGTCAGGGCACATTGCCCCGGTTGCAGGTTCGGTCCCCAGTTGGGGCATGTGCAAGAGGCAACTGATCAATGTTTCTCTCTCACATCAAGGTTTTTCTCCCTCTCTTACTCCCTTTCCCTCTCTCTAGAATCAATTTTTTTTAAAAATTTTTAAATAAAACCATCAAACCAGTGACCTACCCAACTCTTACCTTCCCCCTTCCCTTTTTTGGTGGAAGAAAATGAATTTTGACTTGATAAATGGCATTTACAAAATAAGGAATGTGACCTAAACATCCCTGAATTCTTTTTGGTCATAAATAATGGAATCAAAATAATAATCTGATCCAAATAATAATAATTCATAAATACCCTGTTTATGTGTTTATCCAGGATTTAATCTATAAGGTTTTTCATTTTTTTGTTCATTCAGCAAACATTTTTTGAGCACTTGGGGAAGAGATAAATAATAAAAACAGCATGTCAGATAATGTTCAGTGCTATGAAGAAAAATAAAGCAGAATAAGGGGTGGAAGCACAATAAGAGAGTGCCTTCTTACACACGGTCATGGGGGGGGGGTCTCTGATGAGGTGATGTTTGAGTGAAGACCTGAGGAAGTGAGGGAATAAGTTACACAGAGTCTGGGGGAAGAACACTTCCAGAATAAATAAGTAGTTCTCAGTGGGGGGAATCACAAAGGGAATTTTTCAAGCTAGGATGCCTCTCTCTAGGGCTTCTAGTGCACTTCCCCAGGGGAGGCATGCCAGAATCTTGGGAGAAAGTGAGGATACGGTGATTGTTTTTCTTTTAAGTTCACATGGTGATTGTGATGTATATTCCCTGTTTGAGAATCCCTACTGTAAATATTTCTATTATTCTCTGGCACTTCTTTTATCTAACTTGGGGATAATGAAGTTTTTCTATGTTAGAATAGTATTTGACCTTTTCTTTCTCTCATCCTAATAAATACCATTTCCCTTGGTATACAGGGGCTTTTGTAGCAGGACTGGATGCCGGCCTTGTTTACAACTCCTTCCCCAAGATGGGAGAATCTTGGATCCCAGAGGACCTCTTTACCTTCTCCCCCATCCTGAGGAATGTTTTTGAGAATCCCACTATGGTGCAATTTGATCACCGGATTCTGGTAAGTCTGGCTGATGGTTAATTGGCAAGCAACAGGGAGCCTCTCGTAGGTTTTGAGATGTTCAAAGCACTGATGGCAACAGTGAGAGGGTAGAATGGGCACTAGATTTCTTTCTCTTTTTATAAGAAATTGAGTACCGGCTCTCCATTTTATTAATTTTTTTTTTCCTCAATTACTCATACACCCTCCAGCCAGATTCTGGCTTTCAGGACGTTGCCACCTTCTCAAAGTTCGAATCTGCTTTCTACCATGTGGCAAATGATAACCTCTCTCAATCCTGCACACACATTTTAGCAGATAGGAGGCTGAGTAGAGAAGAGAATGCAAAGACCATTTTAGAATGTAGCTGTCAGAGCTGAACCAGAACCCCAAAGAGCCAAGAGCATCATACGTGCTTTTTGTTTTATTTAAGCCACTGTTTATTATGGGCCTGCCCTGGGTCATGTTAAGATTGGCCCAGTAGCCTGGGCATGATAAATTGGAGCGAGGAAAGATCAGCAGCAAGGAGACCAGTGAGAAGCAATATTGCTATTGCAGTAATGCAAGGGAGAGTGATGAGATTCAAGGCTCCATGGCGGGAGCGGATTTAGGAAGAATGATGAATCTGAGAGGGGTTGTAAGAAGAGTGGCTGTAGAAATGAAGGTGAGGAAAGATAAAGGGAGATCCCAAAGTTTCTTCTGGGGTGTGCTTGAAACACGACTAACAAAAATGAAACTATTGGAAAGAGTGCTGAACTAGACATGGGAGGATGTCATCAGATTGAGGTACGTTGACTGTGAGAGGGTAGAGGACATCCAAACAGAAACTCAGAGGACTCAGACGTCCAAAGGGATTGCTGGGGCGGCACAAGTTACCGTGGGGTGGGCCCAGTCCTCACCGCCACGCATTTTAGAATTAGCAAAGTCTGACTGAAATTGTCATCATGGATGGCTCTGAAAAGGAAAAGGAGTGAAACAGATGTACAAATATGACAGAAAAACATTCTCCTTGACATTAGAGAAGGGGCACAGAGATCCTGTTGTCAGTCCCAGACCTTCATTCTGAAGGGGTGGGAATGAAAATGAGACTTTAGATCTTTTTAGCACTAGCTGCGACACTACCACCTCCTCTACTCACAGACCAGGAAAAAAATAACCCTCACAGGCTGGGGTCAGACTTGCTCTAACAATATGGGGTTAGAGTAGAGGGCAGAGGGTGCAAGGAATGATTTAAAATGTGAGGGCCATGCCTGGGGGACACCCGCAGCGGAAGGTGCATGAGATCACTGAGAGTGTGTGTAACTGTAACATAAAGGGACAGGTGCAGAAACTTCAGGTCGCACCTCAGGGAACATCGACATGTAAGTGGCAAGCAGAAGAGGAGGGGGAAGGAGACTGAGGAGCAGTAATCAGAGGGGGAACTGCAGGTGGGTTCTCTGCCTGGGACAGGAAGGTACCTGGTGATTACTCACTGGTTCTGGAGGAGATACATGTGAAGTGCGCAGAAATCAGGAGGGTGGAACGTTGCTTCCTGGCACTTGATGAGACTCTTTCCTCCTTAACAGGGAATCACTTCAGTTACTGCTGTGACAGCGCTCTACTTTCTGTCCCGGAGAATCCCCCTTCCTCGAAGGACCAAGATGGCAGCAGTGACTCTGCTGGCTTTGGCATACACACAGGTACAAACCACTTCTTTTAAGCCTGAGGGTATACCCAAAACAAGGTTAAAAAGGAAAGGCAACAGCCTAGGACAAAGTATTTTCAGTACTTAAAATAGACTTAGAAGATTAATAACCAGAAAATAAGATAAGGGTACCAGTCACAATTCTCACAAGATGAATGATGAATGGCCAATAAATATGAAGAGCTCTTTAGTCTCACTTATGATCATAGAGGAGCAAATTAAAACAATGCATGCCATTTGGTGCTTGTCAGGTTGGAAATAAATGAAGAAATCAAAAGATAACCAGGTATTGGCACAAGCATAGGAAACTGGATACTTTCCCGTCTTCTTGGTGAGAACATGAGTTTGGCGTTTTTCAGAGGGCATTTAAAATGTTAAATGAATACATCCTTGGCCCAGCTAATTGACTTAATAGTGCCTGCCCTAGAGATATTCTGATGCACGGAGAGCTATATCTATGGAGAAATTCATTATAGAATTGCTGTGATGTCCTGGCTGGTGTGACTCAGTGGACTGAGTGGCTGGCCTGCGAACTGAGGGGTTGCTGGATCGATTCTCAGTCAGGGCACGTGCCTGGGTTGCAGGCTGGGTCCTCGGTTGGCGGCATGCAGAAAGCAACCAACCTATCAATGTGTCTCTTGCACGTTGATTTTTCTCTCCCACTCTTTAAAATACATAAAATCTTTTTTTTTAAAAGTTGCTGTGATGGTGAAAAGCTAGAAACAGTCTAAGTACATGGTAAATTTATAGTGCAGAATACTGTACAGCAGTTTAAAATAGTATCTCAAGACCTGTATTAAATGAAAAAAGCAAGTCACAGAACAATGTATTTTTTAAAAGCACAAAACTGTGTTTTTCTAAAAACATTTATACAAAAGTACAAGTGTGTACTAGCTGGTAATAGTGACTACCTTTGGTGGGGGGACCTGGGATAGGGTAAGTGATCATGAAGGGAATTTTAGTGTTTTTTGTGTTGTGTGAATTTACTTCATTGTAAGTATATTTGTGGAATTAAAAATGTATTTTTAATGTTCTGATGGGAGAATATAGAGGTTTGTGTTTCTGGTTGTCGGTGCCCAGTTGTTTCAACTCTGAATTTGTGGTTCCTACTTTGCTTACTGCTGTCTTTCCTCTGTAACAGGTGGGCTTGGGCATTAGCACTCTGCTAATGTACGTGCCAACTCCTTTGGCTGCCACTCACCAGTCGGGCTCCTTGGCTCTGCTCAGTGTTGCCCTTTGGCTCATGAATGAACTCCGAAGAGTCCCAAAATAATTCGAAGAGGATCGGCTGCATAGGACTGAAACTGTGCTAAGAGAGCACAAGAAACTGGGTTTTGCTAAGAGGGAGGAGCTTGGCATATCAAGTGGTTTCCAAATTTGTTAAGTTTTAAAAATGTTTTTGCCTGTCTTTGAAACAGTCACTGGATCAAGAATGTCATTAGGTATGGTTACACTGAAGGTTCCTTTTTAAATATTATTTTTGGTGTTGAAAATTGGGTTTAATATAGATGAAAAAATATTTGCTGCTTCCTGGTAGGTTTCTGTTGCAGATTTCAGGTGTTGGCAAGCTCTTGGTTCTTACATGCATCATCTGTCCCAACCTCCTGAGACCTGAATTCTGCCTAAATAGAAACTCTTTATGTCTTCACTTCTGTCAGCGGAAAATTCAAAGGGAAAGATTGGCACTCCCTGAAGTAACCAGATAGGCTTCTAAGCAAGAAATAGCTACTGTATTCTGATATCCTGACTTTGATAAATGAAGTAGATTTTGACAAGCTTCGTATCTGTGTGCAGCAAAGTGGTTTATAGGTACTTAGAGAAAAGGAAGGAATCACTAGTAACCCACTCAGATTCATTAAGCTCTAACCTACATAGTGCTGTTACATTGCTAGTTCAAATGAATGGGATAGCATAAATCAGTTCCTGAAAGGGTTTCCTCATGGATGAAAAAAATGTGGCCTTAATGGGGGGACATGGACAGTTTAAACACTTGTTGACTAATGGATTGCTGTGATTTTGGTCTCTACTGATATTTCACAGGACTCTCTTATTCAACCTTCTTTTAATCAGTGTCTGAATGAAGGCATCAACTCAGATTTGAGTACGGAGCAACCAAACGTTGCTAATATTATAGATGGCAGTCACAGCTCAAAACTATCCCAGACAAGACATGATCAAGATGAAATTAATTATAAATATAACATCTTCATTTCAATTAAGTAGGTTGTATAAGTTTGGGGTGGAGAAACCTAGCTTCATATCATTTCATATAAAAAAGACAGGGATTTCTTTTGGCCACATACTCAGCACATACTCAGCACCAACAATGTGAAGTCAAACCAACAATGTGATGACTTCAATAAAAGTTAGTGCTGGTTCAGATTTTATCAATATAAATGTCACAGCTACAGTCTCAGTGCAAATGCAGCATTTCACTAGGGATACCAAATTTAAGGAGGACATTGACCACTAAGTATGTAGCAAGGGGAAGGGGCCAGGATGAAGAGGAACCTGTATCACAGGAAATACTTGAAGGAACTCCGAGTATTTTAGCTGGAGAAGAAAGGACATTTGGAGAGAGCAAAATTTCTGTCCTTGATGAGCTGAAGCCTCTTGGAGCAGCAATGAGCTCCCTTTGTGCTGCAAAGCTGGAGGAGTAATAGGTGGAAGTTGCAGAGAGCTGGTTTTTAGTTTTGTAGAAGACTAGAGGAAGTTGAACCAAACCAAATGCCCACTAAGGTCAGTCTGGTTGAGACAGTAACAAGCCATTGAGCAGGTGCCTCCAGCTAACAGACTAACGACTGCGAAGATGTGCTTTTTTGCTGCTATGCATGCCCAGGGTTGTCAGATCTGATTTTTTAAAGAATCCAAACATCTAGGGTTTTTTTGTGTGAAAGCTCTCAGAGAAGTGCTGGCAACTAATTTCAAATTCTTTAGAACATTATGCAGATGCAACATATTTGGGAGCCATAAATGACCTAAGGTTTGTCCATTTACAGTGGCTGCACTAGATGATCTCAGTTTCCTCTCAACTCCAATACTCTAGAAGTTTCAGTGACTCAGAGCAGTGTACCATTCTCAAGTGGTTCTTAGCAAAACAGAAATGGACAGTTTGTGATTTTTAGAAAATCTCAGACCCTGGGACTTAATGCTATGGCCAGTCTACCTTCTCTCAAATTAGAATCTTTAAAAATCCTAAAGCCCAAGCCTCACCCAAGACCAAATTAAATTTCAATCTCTGGATGGAGTAACAGGCATATTTTTAAGTTCCCCAGGTGATTCCAGTTGCAGACAAGTTTGGGAGCCACAGCCCAAGGCCCTGGTAACCTAATAACCTTATAAAGTTTTGACCCTTTATTCCCATTCCCTCTGAATCTCTACCCCTACCATGTCTCATTTAATCTGCTTTGTTGATCCTGTTAATGGGATATCACCTCTTCTAGCCAGAATTCTTTTAAAAAGGGAACTATGGTCAATGAGGTAGGTTTCCATACTATTATCGCCTGATCCCCAAACTAAGGTTGTCCTTAGTTAACGAGTCAGCAGAGGGCAGTATGATCCAACCCAAAGAACTATATGCTGCTACTACTACAGTTCCCGCCAACAAAGTAGCAACGAATGAATTCAAGTTTCAGATATTTTGCTTTGTTTTTATTTCATTAAAGATGAGTAAGTTTGGAAAAACAGATTGGGTTGCATTTAGCCATATAACTGTATCATACCTATCCATGAGCTCCTGGTGAATGGAGATTACCTGAAATATTTTTATGTTTGCATTATTCCCAGCATCAGACACACCAAATATTGCATGAATGAATGATGATTACAGATTAATATCCCAGACACCTCTTTCAAAATGTCATCACATGCCTAGAAGATTAAATGAATTTCCCATAGTATTTTCAAAGGTCCCTCAACAATTTTGTCAGTTGTTTTTAAAACATCAAAGGAAATTAAAACACCTGCCTTTCTTAATCAACCCAGAATATTTTTGTCTTTAATTTACAGTGACAAATGATGCCTATATGGCAAGGGTGACGATTAGCTGCTGCTTTAAAGTAATGCTGGTTACAAAGACAACACTGATCATGATGTTAGGATAACTGTTTACCTGCAACAGTCCTTCCGGTTCTGGAATGAATGGTGGGTTACATACTGGCACATGTAAATCATATACCCACATCCCTGCATAAGGAAGAATGCCTCCCCTCTGATATGCCTTGCATATTTTGCTCAACAATGATTTGACAGTACTAATCAGAATTATAAGAACTGTTTATCAAAATTATTAATGTGAAGCATTAGAAAAATTTAACAATCTTAATAACCCCCACAAGTGATGCAATACAGGCAGCCTTTGGTTTTATAAAGTGAGAAAGGAGTGTCTTGTGGATCATAAGGAAAAGATGCCTTTCAACACTGCAGGGTCCAGCACTCAAGGCAGAAACAATGAAGGAGACAAGGCATATACTTCATGGCGTCAACTAAAGAGGAATTGTAGGATAAAAATTTCAAATACAACATAATAATAGAAATACCAGAGATCAAAATATTTGGGATCCCTGCAGAGACAGACTTTTATGAAGCTGATAAAAGGCAGAGCCTTCAGCACCAGTAGTCAACAGGCCAGGCTCCGGCAGGTGCTCTGCAAGGGGGGCTGCTCAGGAAAGGAGCAGGACTAGCGTACACTGGAGTGGAGCGGTAGTGGGGAGTGTGGCAGGCCACCGGAGGGTGTGCAAGTGATGGCACTGCTTAAAAAGAAGAGGCTCAGAAGCAGACCCGTCTTCAGGCTTGGCTGAGTTACACACGCACGGCTATAAACATCCCATGATTCATAAATTTTTTTCAACTTTGGTTTTTTAAAAAATGGCAAGCAATGATTGAATACGTTTTAAAAGTAGAAAGCCCTTATAGTATGAGTAATAATTCGATCTTAAAAAGATCTCCTTATTGCTCAGACTTCCAGAGAAACAAAATTGACAACAGATGTAGTTCTCTGTCCTTCCAATAAAAGGATCAAGAAATAATATTAGCATAGAGGAAGCACTTGGGTAATAACACAAGGGAAGTCTATTACAATTTTTTTTAAGTCCTCATTTCTTAACAAATATACTTTGTAACAAAATCCTCATCATTTTGAGAGAGCACATGGCCCTTGTGGCAGGACTCTGAAACTAGCCTAACTGAAAAGACTAATTGGGAAGAATTTGAAATATCCACTGCTATTTCTACCTTAATTCTTGATCCCAAATGAAGTTACATCACATACCACAGCAAAAAGAGAAATTAGATACCAGTTCTGTATTAGCTTGAAAAGGAGTTTAGCCTAAAGACAGCAAAGAGGAACAGCATTGTTTCTACAAGGGAGTCTGGAAATGGCCCAAGAATCACAACCAAGTTCCTTAATGAGGTAGATCTAATAGGCATTTTTACCTTAAATAATCTGGATTGTAACCGTCACATGAATTGCTTGGATGCTGTACTTAAGGAAATTGTATAAAATTGAGCAAATTGTTTAAAAGACATCTAAAATTTTGAAGTATTAAATACAAAAGCTAGATGTAGTGAAAACTTGGTATTTCTGGCAAAGTCTTTTATATTTATTCCTAAATATGAGCAAAGCAATCACAAATGAGTATCAGAAGCAGTTATAAAGATTGGACATGATCAGTTGCAGTGAGCCTATTATATAGAATTGATTCTATTGAAATATACTGCCTTCCAGGATGATTCTGTCCATGAGCATTTCATAGCAGCGGTCACTACTGCTAGTGTAGTAACAGCATATGTTACTACTGCTCTGGGACTCAATTTCAGGGGACCTCTAAAGTTCCTTTTAAAATCTCATGCTCTGAAGTGTATGTATAATGATAGCTATTGGACACTCCATTCCCATCGGGGAATGTCAGGGGTCATGGATAAAGTAGGAGATGACCATGGGCTCTCAGGCAGCCTGGTCTTCTAAGCCAAAGGCCAAAATCCTCTTCCTGAAACCGTCACTTTTCTACTTTTTTTCCTACTTTTAGGGCTTTGGGCCAATGGGTCTCCTTTAAGAACTAACCTTAGCTGGAGCCAGCCTAAGTGCCCATCAGTAAATGAGTGGATCAAAAAACTGTGGTACATTTACACAATGGAATACTACGCAGCAGAAAGGAAGAAGGAGCTCCTACCCTTTGTGACAGCATGGATGGAACTGGAGAGTATTATGCTAATTGGAATAAGACAGTTGGTGAAAGACAAATACCACATAACCTCACCTATAAGAAGAACCTAATGAACAAAATAAATGAACAAAATAGAACCAGAGGCATGGAAACATGGAACAGACTGACAATGACCAGGAGGCAGGGGGAGGGGATAATGGTGGAAAGGAGAGAGACTAGTCAAATAACATGTATGAATGACCCACGGACATGGACAACAGGGTGGGAACTGACTGTGGGAGCCGGGGGCGGGGGTGGAGGACGGATGGGATGGGCAGAGGAGGGCAAAGGGAGAAAATTGGGATAACTGTAATAGAATAACAATTTTAAAATGCTTAAAAAAATAAAAAGAACTAACCTCAGATCACCTTGTTTAGCCACCCTGATTTATAGATGAAAAATCAACCAGAGAGGCCAAATGACTTGCCTAGAACAGCAGAGCTAGTTAACGGCAAAGCCAGGACTAGCATCCAAGTCTGCTCTTCATAAAGTCTGATGTTCCTTCCCCTGAACCATACCACCCATCTTTCACTCCTGACAAAAAGAAAAACACAAAACTAAGAGAACAGGGATGGAGGGGCATCTATTTAGATAATACCAGTAAGTTATTTTATTTCAAAAAAGTAAATAATGGATGTGAAAATGTTAATGCCTAAAAAATCTAGCTTAGCAATGGATGGCAGATTTTATCATCCACCTTTTAATAATCACTGCCTTTGGAGTTAAAGGAAGCTCTTAGGCTGAGGAGCAGAGAGACAAAATACTTTAGACGAAATTAGAAGAATACAAAGCTAGTAAAAGGTGATTAAAATTTCCTTGACCAAGGAAAATCAATTCAAGGAGCTAAGTAACAGATGGAATAATTTTGCTTAGAATTAGCTGCAACTTAAGTGAATGTAATGTATAAATGAATATTACACATATTTGCCTTATGTTCTGGTGACAAGAATTTAGAGAAATGTGACGGGCTGTGCCATCACAAGACTAAAAATACATTACCCTTAGAGGCCACTGACTCTGGTTCCGACATTTGTGAACCTGTCTCAGTAATAAAAGTACTAAACCATTTCCGGTTCATTGTTGCTATTATCAAAAAGACTGGCTTGTAGGATTCAAAGGAACCAGTGAAATGTGAATTTTACAAAAACCATAATTATATTCACAGGAGAACCACCAAAATGCAGAAATGCAAATAGAAATCTTT